ATTCGATTCGATATTCGTATAAGGATGAATATCATCATATTCATATTAGCAATTACATGATTGTTGAGACTTATATATCACAATGTATACTTATGATCGCTACCGGAAATCAAATCGAATTGTTCGAATTTAACATTCATATGGAAAAGTTATATGACAAGCTGAAACATAATCGCAACCTATTTATTTATTCAAGTTTCAATGATATTAAAAACGGCTTCAGAAATTTGGATCATACCAATAAAAGTAATAAAAGTTCCCATTATCAGGGGAAAAATTTGAGATGGGAATTCAAGAGTGGACTGAACAAATTGGAAGTTCAATTGCAAAATCAGCAGAAATTTAGCCTTGATTTTAATAGCCATATTGGATTTGAACATCTTCAAATTTTAAGTAATGATGATGTAGTATTATATGGTTATTGCATTTATATTCTTGGTTTTAATGAAACAACAAATACGATTGTATTTAAATACTTTTATAACGATAAGAATAACTTTCTTGAAATGGAGAGCCCTCCAAACCTAACATTCCCAATAAAATATATAACATCATTATGTGATGAAATAGATGAAATAGACTTAATTAATGAACTTCTATGTTCAAGAAAGTATCTCGTAGAAATGAGCAATGAAATCATCGGTTATGCTATTGACAAGAATAAAAGTAGATTGTTAGATACCTGTCTTAACAAATTATATGAAGCGTTAACTGAAGATACTACGACAAATTATAGAATCTGTGGTTTTATCACAAAATATCTGCCAAAATTAAAGGAAAAGTTCCCTAATCATTTCTATTTTTTCAATTATTCCAAATCCACATACAAATGAAACTTATTTATATTTATCTACTAGATTCAAATTGGTTGGTTACACGTCCCAAGCTCATAAACTTCAAGTATATAATTGCATAGAAGGTTATGTCATTCGACTAATTTTATGGATCAGTAAAGTCTTTCAAAAGCTACATTTCCTATATCGTATTATTGCTGGGAAATATAAAAATGGAAGGCATATCAGTTTCATTGTTCCTTGTTTTGAATTTACAAAGTATAAATCTGATTACGAATACTGGGAGGAGTTAATAAAACCACCAAAAGACATCCTATTTGTTGCTTTAGATGACCAAACATTTTACGATAGTTGGAATGCTGAGGCATTACTTAATTTCAAATGGGATACTTTTGGAAGGTCTTATTATTATCTTTTGTGGGGATTTTTTACCATGTTTATGCTTTCTTTCGGAATTGGTTCAACCTTGTCCTCATCTATAATTTCCGATGATACAAGGAATATTTTTTTAAGAATTAGCATTATTCTTGGTTCATTTCACATGATTCACGAAATTAGACAATGTTTCTGGGATCCGATAAGATATTTTAGAAGTATATGGAATTGGTTTGGTATGTTTAACGTTTATGTATAAAGTTTGATATAATTTTAAAAAATAATTATCTTTATATATATATTTTCTAGATCTTTCTGCAATTATTGTCCCAGTATATACTGCCTTTTTTTGGTTATACGATGCAAAACCTCTGACATCACTGATTTCTATATCAAATCTATTCTTATACTTTAAATTTATAACATTTTTGCGAGCTCTTAATTATTTTGGCTCTAACTTTACAATTATTATTGGTGTGGCTAAAAGGATATTTTCTTTCTTATTAATCTTATTTATAATCATAATTGGCTTTGCACATGCTTTTTATATTATTTTGACCCCAGATCAAAATTATAATTAGGACGAACCGGTTCAAAATGACGATCCGAATAATCCCTGGAATCTCGTTACGAAATATCAATCGGTTACCCCAAACGGAGAGATTAATTCCGGAGTAGAACTTATTCAACAACCCGATTCCAAATTAAATCAATTTTCCACTTACCCAACTTCACTATTGGCCATGTATTTGTTTTTAACGGGAGATTCATCAGCACTTGCCTCATGGGCATATCAGGAAAATCCGTTCATGACGGTTCTGCTAGTTATATTTTCATTCTTGATTGTGGTTTATCTCATGAATTTAATTATTGGATTGCTTAACTTGGAAATTGAAGGAAACAGAATGCATTTCCTGTTTAAACTTCAAAAAGCAGAAATCTTGGCTGAAATTGAGCTTTTTCTCCTGCTTCCAAATCAACGAAGGTGGCAAGATTGGTTTCCAGATGTGATGTAAGTTATTCATACTCAACGTTGGATATTTATCTAATTGGACATATAAATTTAAATTGATTTGCACGTGCTAACCTTATAGATTCTATGATATACCAATTGAAGACGTTCAAAAACGGATTATAGAAATAGATAATCCATTGTCAATTAGTAAATATATTTCTGAGAAATTAAGAAATCTAGCCAAATTGGAAGTTAAAAATGATGATCCAATGACAAATTCTGATTATATGAAAAAATCTGATTACGAAAATTTAGTAAATATGTTTAAAGATGAAATTAGAAATACTTTTAAATCCAGATAATTATGTTGGTGAAGCTTGTGAAGTAAACAAGCCAGAAAAAATTGAGATTAAGGATGTTGATATTGTATAATATCATTCGTATCTATAAATAATTGAAAGCTGCTTTTATCGATTTACCACCTTATAATAATAAATGGAATTCTCTCAATAGCAGGAGGCAAAAATGACTAATGAGAATGATATTTTATATGCAATTTTCACCAATGATTTTATTTATACAATAGTGGTATATCAGATTGTGGGCATTGTTATTATTTAAATTTGAACTCAAAAACAAATATATGCTTCATAATTAAAGATTTTTTTTTAAAACAAAAAAAAAAGAATAATTGCAATTATCGATTATTGTTATAATTATCAAAAGAATAATAGACCAGAATTTTAAATTTTTATTCCAATTTCTTCTTTTTTTTTCTCGCAAGGTCCCGAAGTTTTAAGAAGTTGTTTTGATAATATTGACTATGTTGATTAAAACGTCTAAATTAAATAAAAATAATAATATTCAGCAAGCAATGAAGGAAGGTTACATAAAAAAAGGTTATTGTATCATAAAAGCATTATAACACTACCGTTTGCTTCGGTTGCTTTCCATCCTTTCCATCAGATTTATTTTTGAAAAAAAAAATTATTTAATTCGAGAAAAATGAAAAAATGGTATTAAATAAGCAAATAAATAAATAAATAAACAATGACGACGACAATTAAATTTCCATTATCCGATAACAAATAACGCTTACATATCGTTTTTTGTTGAGCATTCTTTATTAAATATAAATTATTGAATTGATTACTTTCGGTAAGATTAATCTATAATATATTTGAGGAGTCTACTATTTTGATAATTTTTTTTGTTTTTTTTAAACTTCTTTATCTTTACAATTATAAATATTATCATTATTTTCTTTAATATATAAGAAATGATTAGCAATAGTGTCGCGTTCAGTTTTTACAAGATTTATTGTTTTTAATAGCAAGAATTATTTAATAACAATTAATTAATCAACATGTGGTCAACTTGCCTCAGTGATCAATTTTGGCCTAGATCTCTCCCAAATCTAAGATCAATTAAGGAACCACATTAAGAAAACAATAAGTAGGATCAAGTATGGAATTAAATAAATTGAGGTAAGTCGACATCAAAGTTTTTAGGCATTTTGATATTCTTTGATATTCGCTGAGAAAAAATTAATCCTCAGCACGTTTCTTGTCGGCGCAATAATATTTCTGTGTGAAATTGATTTTTCGAATTCATGAGTCAACGAAATTTTGACGCAGTATAAACGATTTGCTTGAGCTTTGATTTTTTTTTTACTGTCAGTTCATACTTTAATTTGTTAGAATTGAATTTTCTGTTAATAATTAATGTTCAATTCTGACTGTTTTTATTTGTAATTGTGATTGCTTTCGTAACAAAATTTATATATAATAATTGGACGCGATGTCAGATTTGTATTTATTCATCACTGTATATGAAAATCAGGTGCTAATTGTGAAATTTTTGTTCCAATATTTGTTTTTAGCAATTACTTTTGCAACTCGGTTTAGTTCATTGTTTAAGAAATTTCACTAAAAAGAGTAAATAAGTCAGTAATAGATATTATTGACAATGGTACAACCCAAATAAAACATAGAGGCTTTCAATACAATAATAAACGATCCATATGAATGGTATTAAATCTCTAAAAAAGAAAAAGCACGTACTAGTCTTGCATTCTGATTTAAATTGTAGAAATAAAAAATAATCAAGGTCCACTCCATTGCTTAAGCTCATCGATTTTTTTATGGTTCGACAACACTAAATAATATAAATGTCATAAATTTTTCTTTTGATTTTTTTTGAACACTTTTTATTCTTTGGATATACCAAATTTGATTTTCAATAGATTTTCTTAAATTTACTGCGCCATTTACGGAAAGTTCTTTTATGCAAAAGAAACGCCATTGATTAACGTGGTTTGAACCAATGTATAGAACCATTCATCAAAAATGGAAGGAGGCGTTAATGAGCAACAATATTATTTTTTCCATAATATTTATTTTATCAAAAGTTTTTTATTTTTTTCCTCTGTTTTTACACAAGGATCGACAAAAGATCTAATGTTTACAAAAAGGAAAAACTTTATATATATTAAAAACCCGCCTGATTTAATTGATTAACGTTATACCGAACCGTTGTACATTACATAAACCATAAAAGTGTTTTCTTTAATACGTAAATTACACCAAAAAAAAAAAAAAAAAAAAAAAAAAATTAAAACAAAGCATTTTTTTCTTTGTATGATTTCTTGCCATTATAACACTACAGATATCGGAAAAAGTTTAAGCAACTTTTACGAAACCGGAAACTGATTGATCGGAAAATTGTTAAAATCAAATTAAACATCTCCTTTCACTTTCTTTTGCTGAGGTTATAATAAATGAGAGATATAAAAACCCTGCAAAAATGCCTCTATCCGCTCAATTCATCGTGAAATAAAATTACTTATAACACAAATAATACCATTAGTGAAAATCATGTCTTTTTATAAAGTCATTTGTCTCCTTTATTGTATTACTATTCTGACACCTTTGGTTTCGCCCACACCTTTTTGGAATCAAGAGCTTATTGAATCTCGCGCATCGGGGAATCATAATCCAAAAACAAATACTTTTGATCTCGTTCTAAAAAAGGTTAACCTCGCCCCGGATGGATTTACTCGTGTCGTGTCAACGATCAATGGCCAATATCCTGGACCAACTATCGAAGCCAACAAGGGAGATCGCATTGTAATGAATATTCACAATGAGTTAGAGGCCCCAACAGGTAAAGTTGCCTAAAACATTTTACGCAGAATTATTTATCGGTTGTATCCATAATGAATCTAAAAATTTAATTTAGCAATCCATTCTCACGGAATGTTTCAAAGAGGGACCCCATGGTACGTATTTTTGGTTTGATTTTATCTTTATGTGACAGTCGACTAAATTGAATGACTAATTTCGTAGGTACGATGGAGTACCAGGGCAGGTGAGTTTTGATTTCGATTTTTTTTTTTCATTTCTTTGTCGCAGATCCCATCTTGGTATAACACGTGACATTACTAGACCCAATGTGAGATACCAAACAATTATACATTTACCTACAATTTCACGGTTCCCGACCAAGCTGGTACTTACTGGTAGTAAGTACATTTTAAGGCTTTATTGTTTATTGCAAAACCATTTGAATACTCACGTGATAACGCTCATTTAGCCATTCGCATGCGTTAACTCAATATGTTGATGGAATTGTTGGAGCGTTAAGTCAGTTAATTTATTTATCTATCTTTTTTCCTTTTCTGAATGATCAAAATGATTTATCTGTTTCGATGTTAATTTTTTAGTTATTCACGATCCTGATGATCCGTATAAAGCAGAGTATGATGAGGAAATTCTTGTCATGTTGACTGATTATCATCATACGGAAGCTCATATTTTATTAAAATCATTCTTGACCCCTGAAAGCGAAGGTGAAGAGGTATGCGTTGTTTTAAAGTTAGAAACGTCGTCACATTTCTTACCTTACAATATTAATTCATTATTTCTTATTTCTCTTTTTATAGCCAGGTAGGATTAGATAAGTTGTGATGTTATTAAGATGTATAATGTGAATTAAAAATTCATCATTGTGATTTCAGTTCCCGATAATGGATTGATAAATGGAAAAAATAACTACGATTGTTCCAAAGCTCCACCAGGTTCTACATGTGTGGATAATGCTGGTCTCGCTAAATTCGAATTTGTTTCTAATAAAAGATATCGTCTTCGCATCATCAATACCAGGTAACTTGGGAAATAAGAATCGCGATGTAATTAAAGATCGGTTGAAAATTACTAAACATAGCTTTTATTTTTCACTAGCGCTTTTTCATCATTCTTCTTTTCAATTGATAAACATGTGATGGAGGTTATAGAAGTGGAAGGTTCCTACACCAAACGAAATAAAATTCATCGTCTTCCTATCAATGTTGCACAAAGATATTCCGTCATCGTTACTGCAGATCAACCCGTTGACAATTATATCATGCGTTCAGAATTTCAAAAGATGTGTATGCCGGATGAAGCAATTTCACTTCCTGTTGTAACGGCTATAGTACATTATGATGGTGCGCCTGAGGATTCTGTTCCAAAAGATATACCGTGGACGGATTTCTTGGAAGAATGTATTGATCTGGATCCAAAAACTTTACAACCATTATATGAAGAAAATATTCCTGAAGCAACAAGAGAAATTAAACTTAACATTGCGTTTCATAAAGATTCATTAGGCATTGATAAGGCTTTTCTTAATGAATCTACTTATGTTCCTGATTTTACCTCGTCGACTTTGACTAAAATCTTTGAAGGAAAAGCAGCTAATCTTTCCACTGCCGAAAATGCGTTTACTTTTAATACTTTTGGAGAAGTTGTTGATATTTATTTTATTAGTGAGAATATGATTTAATTTTTTGTAAATTTTTTCATTATATATATTTTATTAAAAAATATTAAACATATTTCAATTTTAGATACTGATGACGGAGAACACCCGTTTCACATGGTAAGTGTTATTTTAACGCAGTATAACGGCCTAGTATGGTTAATCAATTTATGTTTATTACATCGCATCGCAACTCAGCACGGGCATCAATTTTGGTTACTTGGAATTGGTAATGGAACAGAAGTTGATAAATCCGCACTGAATACGATTAATCCCATCAAACGTGATACCTCAACAATACCTATCAATGGGTAAAAGTTACTTCAGAAATAATTCGCGTTTTCTTTCCTTTTAAGGAAATTCTTTATGATTGAAAATCTTTTTTTTTTTAATTTAATAGGTGGTCAGCTTTGAGATTTGTTGTGGATAACCCTGGAGTGTGGGGACATCATTGCCATATGGTACAATATTTTTTTTTCCTTGTTTTTTTCAAGTTTTATTTGATTCATTAGTAAATTTCGCGTTCTATCTCTTTTAAAATTTCCGTAAAAAAAAATTATAGGAGGTAAAAAAAATAATTGATTAACATTTATTTCGTTTATTTTGGAAAAAACAAATTACTGAAATTTAATTCAATTGTTAGTGGCATATGCAAGTAGGACTTGTGATGCAATTGATCGAGCTACCGGATGAAATTATTAAAATGTACCCACCTGAAACATGGTCAGAATTATGTGAATTGAAAGAAACTTTGGGATATTAGATCACTAATTACAAAAAATATATATATATATATTCTTAAAAATTTCAAATTTTCTTGTAATAAAGTTATTTATTTATTAACGTTTGTATCAAAGAAAATAAATTATGAGAGTTTCTGATATACTGTAACACAAAATTTTAATTGTCGCAATTGAAAAAAATTCCTCTTATAATAAAGAAAATATTTTATTTATGGCAAATAATACTTTACATAAAACTATTAGTACCCTAAAGATAATCCAAAAAAGTATTTAAATAGGAAGGAAAACCAGATGATAAAAAAAGTCATTAACATTCTTTTTTTTTTTCGCTGAATTCAAAATATTTTCTTTACATAGAAATTATCATATCATTTAATTTTACATGAATATTAAAATATGAACGACATGAATATACTTTAGATGAATCTATTTACAGTCACGAAAATGAACTGCCTACAAGGCTTGCGGACTGTGCCTCCTGGTGTATCGAATTCATAACCAGAAATTTAACAAATCTCGTATTAATATATATCAAACAATATAGACATAGATCAAACAAAAATGATCAGGCAGGTGGCTATGTATTAATTACATAGCCCATATACGATAGCCATGAAATAATCTTAAAGTGATGCAATGTTTAGCAAGATCATGACTGTTAATTCATTTTATGAAATGCAAGCAGCACGGCGAATCGAATGTATGATAATAAGCCTTTCCATTGAAAATATATCTGTGAAAATAGCATAGTATATAATTCATTGTCCTAAACCTTCACAACAAATTTAAATTCCATGAATTGTAGCCAATTAAACATTTATTTATCAATTTAGTTTACTTCAAAATGATTCATTTTCGATCGATCGAAGAGAAATTAAAATTGAGTTTTGAGTGCAATTCCAGATTTACATGACAAGAATAACAAACAACTAATCGGTCGAAGACCGATCCTATAGTATATATTAATGGCGATGTTAGCCGGGGGGCTAGAAATAAAACTTAGTCGATATAATTCAGTCCTTCGAATTAATCACAACAATTTTTTCACGTAAACTTAGAAAAAAATACAATTTAATGAAACCTTTATCAATGCTCATTGATTTAATAGTAAACTCTTTTTGTAACTTACTATATACTCAATTTAACGAAATAAACCTATTTCTTATTTTCCAAAGCTTATTCTATTCTAACAAAATGGAATTACAATAAATATTTTATTCTATAGAATACAAATGTTTCTTTATTTTTGATTTATCGTATTATAGATTATCACATTCGGGTCAAAAAAAAAATTTGTTATGCATAAGCCTGCATACCATTACTTTTGTGAATATATAAAGTTCGTTAAATTGTATTGTGAAGCATAATCAAAGATAAAAATGTCTAAAGGCAATAATCCAAGCGTTGTCGAGTCTTTCGTTATTTCACCGAATATGAAACATTTCGTTACTATTCATTGGCTGTATGGGACGTTGATTTTGATAATAAAAGATTCAAATTAGTCAGTATAAACAAGGGTGAAGTCCTTTTTCACGAATCCAAAGAGTTACTAGAATTATCAAACGATAAATTATTGATTTATTCTTGTAAAAATAATCCATATATTCGAGATTTGGGAACTTCTAAAAATATTCAAATAACTTCTCAACCACTTGATGATTATCAATGTTTACGGTTTCTCCCTAACGGAGATCTTTTAATGCTACGAGATCTATATATAAATGTATATTCAAAAGCATCTTTAAAAAATTCAAAATTTTCTCCGAGATCATATAAAATACCACCGATTAGTCATGATCTTGGCATAAAAATGATCAATGTTAATCGTATTGTTCAAAAAAATGGACAAATTTTTATTACCCTCGATAACGTCGTCATACTTCAATCAAACACTAAAAAAATGAAAAATGAAAATTATTATGAAATTCCAAACATTACCAAAAGACAGAATTTTGATTCAAAGTATTGTAGTTGGATGGGAGGGGCGGTAAACAAAGAAGAAAGTTTATTTGCAATAAGTTTAGCATACAAGGAAGATGTTTATACAAATGTATTTTCAATGAAGAATGGAATTTTAATTTCATCAAGTGAGCAAATTATTAGCTATTAAGTTTATTATTTTACTAATGAATTTACTAACCGAATTATTTTATATAGGACACGACACCATTAACGACGTCATTGATTTAAGAATACAATTTATAAACACCAATAATACAGATATTTTGATGTTACATAGACGTATTGAGGACAAAATCGAATATACGATAATGTCACCTTATGACCTTAAATATTCGTATAAGGATGAATATCATCATATTCATAACATGATTGTTGAGACTTTTACATCACAATGCCTACTTATGATCGCTACCGGAACTCAAATCAATTTGATCGGATTTAACATTCCTGTGAAAGAGTTATATAACCAGCTGAAGCATGATCGCAACCTATTTATTTATTCAAGTTTCAATGACATTAAAGACGGCATCAGAAATTTGGGTCAGATCAACAAAAGTTCCCATTATCAGGGGAAAAATTTGAGATGGGAATTCCAGAGTGAAACGAACAAATTGGAAGTTCAATTGCAAAATAAGAAGAAATTTAGTCTTGATTTTAATAGCCATATTGGATTTGAACATCTTCAAATTTTAAGTAATGATCATGTAGTATTATATGGTTGTGGCATTTTTATTTTTGGTTTTAATGAAACAACAAATACGATTGTTTTTAGATATTTTTATAAAAATTTCGATAAATTTCTTGTGTCGGAGAGCCCTCCAAACCCAACACTCCCATGTGTTTATACAACATCGTTATGGGATGAAATAAACATAATTAATGAACTTCTATGTTCAAGAAAGTATCTCGTAGAAATGAGCGATGAAATCATCGATTATGCTATTGAACAGAATAAAAGTAGGTTGTTAGATTCTTGTCTTAACAAGTTAAATGAAGTGTTAACTGAAGATAATACGACGAATTATAGAATCTGTGGTCTTATCACAAAACATCTGCCAAGATTATATTTATATTTTCCTACTTATTACACAAAGTTCATTTCTGATACCACATTTATTCCAAATCCATATATCATTGAATATTATGTTTCTGACAAAATCAAATTGTTTGGTTATACGACTAATGTTCATGCTTTTCAAGTATATAATTGTAGAGAAAGTGATGTCATTCAATTAATTTCGCAAATCAGTCGCGTCTTTCAAAAAAAAGTTCGAACAAAAAATAAGGCTATTAATTTTGTACACGATTATCATTACTTGAAGGAATTATTAATACCAAATCACAACATATTCGTTACTTTAATTGACCAAACATTTTACGATAGTTGGAATGCTGAGGCATTGCTTAATTTTAAATGGAATACCTTTGGAAGATTTTATTATTTTCTAATTTGGGGATTTTTTACCATGTTTTTGCTTTCTTTTGGAATTGGTTCAATTCAACCTTGTTCACATCCGATGATTCAAGAAATATTTTTTTAAGAATTAGTATTATTATTGGTTTATTTCATATTTTTCACGAAATTAGACAATTTATCTGGAATCCGAAAAGATATATCAAAGATATATGGAATTGGTTCGGTATGTATAAAGTTTGATATGATCTTTAAAAATAATGATTTTACATAAAAATATATATGTGCTTATTTTTAGATCTTGCTGCGAATATCTTCCCGGTATACACTGCCTTCGTTTGGTTATATAATGATCATACACCAAATTTATGGCTGATTTCTATATCAAATCTATTCTTACACTTTAAATTTATAACATATTTGCGGGCTCTTGATTACTTTGGCTCTAATTTTACTATTATCATTGGTGTGGCTAAAAGGATACTTTCTTTCTTATTGATCTTATTTTTCATCATAGTTGGCTTTGCACATGCTTTTTATATCATTTTAAGTACGGAGCAATCATTAAGTCACGGAGACATTATGGATATGGATATGGGTCCGTATGATTTTAATAATATCCCAACTTATAATGAAGTGAAAAAAAATGGAGACATCGGTGATATAGCCTTTATTGAAGTTCCAGCAGAAAGTCCGTTTGAATCTTATCCATCTACACTCTTGGCCATGTATATGTTTTTAACGGTTGATCCATCGTCGCTTGGAAGCTCATGGAAATATAAACAAACTCCGTTCATAGCGGCTCTGCTAATCATGTTTTCATTCTTGATTGTGGTTTATCTCATGAATTTATTTATTGGATTGCTTAACTTAGAAATTGAAGAAAATCGAACACATTCCTTGTTTATGCTTGAAAAAGCAAAAATTTTGGCAGAGATTGAGCTTTTTCTCCTGCTTCCAAATCAACGAAGGTGGCAACATTGGTTTCCGGATGTGATGTAAGTTATTCATAATTGATTGCACGTGTACAATTAAGAAGTGCTTACCTTTTTATTTTAAACAGATTCTATGATATTTCGATTGAAAACGTTCAACGAAGGATTAATGATATGGACAAAAATCCAGCATCGTATAGTTCACAATATATCTCTGAAAAATTGAGAAGTCTGGCCGAATTAAAAGTTAAAGATCCAATGACAAAAACTGAGTGTGAGAATTTAGTAAATAGATTTATGACAAAAACTGATTGCGAAGATTTAGTAAAGAGGTTTAAAGATGAAATTAGAATCCTTATACATCCAGATAATAATGTTGAAGATGAAAAGACAGAAGAGTGATAGTAAAAATGACACGGTAGTTGAGATTGAAATTGATGAGAAATAAATTATTTATATCTATTCATTTCATTATTAACGAATAAAAGATGTTTGATTTGATTTAAATCTTACATTATAAAATTTATTTAATGTGAAAATTAAATGTGCCGAATTATCTGATTGTGCATAAGTATTTTATCTCGTTATTTGCTTTCTTATGAAAATGTTTTAATGGAATCCGAATTTCGTAAGATTTTTAATAGGGGAGCGATCAACCTATTATGCAAAATCATTCATTTTAAACTTGCGATTTGTGTGATGCAAGATCATAAATTCAGATTTTTCTAATATCATTCTGAAAATCCTATTATTATTATGTAAAGGCATTCATATTAAGGTAAAACGTTTTGGCCGTTAATACTGTATAACTACCGCTCATCACTATTTGGAGAGCGATCTTTATGAATAAATAAAATAAGTTATTGACTACCGTATAGTTCAATATTCTCAATGTTCTGAACCATATAACAGCTACAAACAAATACGACAAGCTTTGCTATTACTATATCACTGAAACCTTTCTTCTTAACGACGAATTGATGTCACTTCGTTCCTCAATTTATTTGGGAATCGGAATCGAGTTTGTTGATTGTAATAATATTTGGCTCACTTAATTCTTTTTGTTATAAAAATGCGACATTATTTAAAAATAAATTGTTTTTTTAATGCGCAAATGTCACACACTATTTTTGTACAAATATAAGAAACACTCGATACTCGATGATAAAAGTTCTTTTTATTTTTTAAATTTTGGTACACAATAATAATTTAATTTGGTTTTCTATTAACGAGGCATAATAATCCTATAATTTCTGCGAGAACATCAAATTTATTATCATTTTATTTAATGAATAAAAATATAAAGAAAATAAAAAAAAAAAATAAGTTCCGACATAAAAGTAAAATATATTTCTAAATTAGGTGTTAATGTAATAATGTTTTGTGTTGATTTTGAAACGCCTCATTATGATGACGTTCATCATACAGTTAATAGAATTTTCTCTTTCGGCTTCTTCTTTTTCTTCTTCTTTGTAAGTTTTTTAACATCCTTTGTCATGTCCTTTTTAATAATTTCCTGCTTTATATCCTTGTTTTCCTTTGCAAAATAATAATCCACCACATCTGAAGTAAATTTCTTCATTTCGTCATCCATTCCGCTGAGCAACATTCCTGAACAATAAGCTTCCATCCTTTCACCCAGACAACCAGTAACGTGGTTCTTAGACATCATTTTATCTAATTCACAAACTTTTGCTACCTCACCCAAAAATTTTCTTGTAATTAAATGACTATAGATTTTTATAAATACGGCTCGATTTGCGTCGGGAATTTTTAAATTTAATGCTATGGTAGTATAATAATTATATGCTCTATCCCCATAAAAACGATAAAATTTATAACTCTTATTATATTTATCATCGCCATTATTTGTTGGTGAAAGAACCGAATCACGATGTTCTTTATTTTTAATTTCTGGGAGAGTTATTTTTTGCTTGAGGGATGAAGTCGATGAGAAAAATTTTGATTCATGCGAACAAAATTCTATAGGTAATAGAAATCTGGTAAACGAAAAATTCTTGAGAGTAGGTTTTAATCGAAACATGTTTTTTTTTTAGTGAAATTTCTGTTTTGATTTTTTAATGCTTTTATAAGAAATTTACCGTTCTGTGCTGTGTAATGTGATATGATGCATATCCTTTAATAACAATAAATATTCTTGGTCATCAAAAGTGTTTACTTAATTTGAATGACCGTGTTTCTCAAAACTATAATTTCATTCGTGAGGTGACTAGTCGGTTAGCTTGGAACGCATTTGTTAAATTTACATGGAAATAAATAAAATATTATACTTGTTTATTACAAAAATATATTGAACTATACCACATGCTCATCATATGATTTACATTCTCAGGGTGATATTTCTCGCGTATATCACATTACACATTATACTAAATCAAGGAACAATTAAAAACTCCGACAAATGTTATACCCGAGTTTGTAACACGAAATAAAAGCGGCATTTCAAACAAACTTAAAAAATGATTATTGATATTACAAAAAGGGTCAAGACACTTTTTGAAACAACTTAAAATATCGATCAAGAGAGAGGCGTGACGGAGATACATTTATTATGACTCCGTTGTCGGCGTTTTTTCTCCTTTTGACCTTTTCAAAATAAAACAAAAACAAAGGGTGGTTACTCCTCTTTATTATCATTAACCATCATTTCTTTTTGCATATCATTAACATCATCGTCAACTTGAATTTTTCCTTCTTGAGCGACTTCTTTCTCAAAATAATAGTCAACAACCTCAGCGATAAACTGTTTCATTTCATCTTCCATACCGTTTAATATGTAAAGGGCAAAATGTGCCTCAACATTTTCGCTCAAGATTCCGTCAGACATGGGATAATTTTTAGCCAACTTAATTGATTTGTCTAAACCACATTCGATGGCTATTTTCGCAAGAAAACTTCTTGATATGAGTTGATGAGTTCGTATTGTGAGTTCCGCATTACTTGCATTAGGCAATTTATTATATAACTCCCTTGCTATGAAATAATTGTAAACCTTATCCCCGTAAAAACAATATCTTTTGTATGAATGATGATTGTTTTGTGGCGTTGATGGATGTGTTAAAACCTCATTACGAAGCGTTTCGTCTTTTAATGGTGGTAGTGTGAGTTTTCTTTGTAAATTTGAGGATGTGGTGAAATTTTGTTTCCGTATATTCATGATAGATTTATGTAAATTCTTGAAATTATTTATTCGAAACATTTTAAGGAAAAGTTTTTTTTTAGAAAAAATTTAACCGTTTCAAATATCCTCATGTAGTTAATACATTTTTCATGTGATCAAAAAAACGCCTCAACGTGAAATCACGTGAAATATCATTAATAATAAAAAAATTGGAATTAATTTATTGCGATCTTTTCTCTTTTAACAAATTTTTAATTTATAAATAATTCCAAACATGGCTTCTTTCTATGACGAAATAGAAATTGGTTAATATAATTAAGCTTTGTTTTTATTGTATCTTTTGCTTTTTCTCCCGTCCTAACATTATAAATTATCTTTTTTTTTTTCCCTAATTTAGAGGATTTTGAATTTGATAAAGAAACGCAAACATATCACTACCCATGCCCATGTGGAGATCGGTTTGAAATAACAACGGTAAGTTCATCGATTCATATTTTATTCTTAACCTTGACACTTTTTTCAAATTATTCAAATTATTTCATAGGCTGATTTAATGGATGGAGAGGATATAGCTAGATGTCCAAGTTGTTCCTTAATGGTTCGAGTAATTTATGATCCGGTAACTTTAACTCGCTAATCCTTGTATATATAAACTGAACTTTTTTTAATTGACTTTAAAAAAAAAATTTTTTTTTTATAGGATGATTTCCAGGATGATAATCAAGAGACGACTATAGATCTCAGAAAACAAGAGGTTGCTATTTGAGCTTACATCGCTTTATTTATTATTATTTAGATAATTACTTGAACAAAGAATTTAAAGGGAAGGAAGGGTGTGAAGATTAGACGATTAGATTAAAGTATGTGTAAATTATATATCATACATCGCTTTATGACTTTTGAGATCATATGATATAAAATTATACTGGATATATTATTATTTTATATGATGAAATTTATTTTAATTATTTATAGCATCATCATCTATTGTTTGAAAGTTTACCAATAAACTTCAGCGATTGCAGCATCACTGAATTTTATTTTCTACAAAAGGAATTCATTAAAGTATAAGCATGATAATTGGGGATGGATGGGAGGTGGTAAATAGCGATGAAAAAACCGTTTATTTGTAATATATTTAACACGTTTGCTCAGAAATCTTTGATTGATTTGATCGAATGCTATACAATATTGAATCTTAAGGTGCATACATTAATTGGCCAATTAAATGTTGAGTAATATTTATCAAAAAAATTATGGTCGAATTCTAAGTTTTAAAAAATTGGATAACAAATTATTATCAATGACATTATTTCACATTTGCGGTACTCAGTAAAGGAAACTGCTTTTTAAATAATCATTTGATTCATGTTTTGACAATGGTTCAATTATTTACCGTAGCAAGCAATTGTGGTAAAACATGATATGCATTTCTAGTCAAGACTCGCAAAACTATATTTCGTTTTATTATCAGCGATACTTTATTTTTAAACTATTATGCTGTCAATTTGTTTTTTAAAATACTATTTACAAAGTTTACAAAGCTTTTTTTAATATGATCCTTCTTTTTTTATTTCTATATCAAAGTTAATCGAATTTTAGCAATTTTATTGTTTTAGATAAAAAGGTTCGATTTAGAAAAGCAAAAGGGAAACGCTAGAAATATGATATTACTACCATTCAACGCGTCTCGTCATGAAAAATCCAATAATATACTGCATCTATTATTAGTTAATTTACACGTTAAAATTGATAAAATCTAAATGTATTATAATTTGGACAAGAATGTTATACCGTAATAACTAATAGTAGATGGATGAAATACGCATGTTGAAATCAGCATGAACGCGTCAAATGTTAGTAACTCATATTTCTAGCATCGATTATGACTGAATGTTTCTAAAGCGTTTATTTGCTAATGAATACTACTATTTGATGCGTGTTATCAAGCATCTTTCTAAGATCACTGGTTAGCAGTTATTAAGTTTCTCGAATTAAGAACGTCCGATACGCGCTTTTGATGATAAAATCTAAATGCAATGAGCACCACTTTATTTTTTTTTTTTTTGAATCCTTTGTTTGACCTTTTTTCCTTTTTAATGTGAACCGCTATTATAAGATTTTTCATAAGAATCATTCAAACAACTGGATTTCAAGATTTGCCGTACAACATGTATGTTTAAGGTTATTATTTATCCTGTTTATTATTTCAAATTAACCACATATTGAATGTAAAATGAAATTGGATATTTCTGCTTTGTAATATTTCCCTATTTTCGCAAAAATTTTTATCACCAGAATGTATAGTATGTAGAACTTTTGTGATTGAAGGAAATATCTTATCGTCAAAACTAACTTATTACTTTCGATTTGATGAAGGTTTTCGTGAAAATTACTTATATAGTTATATAAAAACTATCTCACTTTTATTTACTTATTTTACACGTGACGGTAAATTCTCCTCAAATTTATTGGATTTTTGAAGGACGACAACTAAATAGGATGTTGTGTAATGGCTCACATCAATTGACACGACACAAAAATTAATAAGGAAAATATATGGACCTTGAAAAAGTTTTTCAAGTACAAAGTTCTTTGTATTCCTTATCTAAGGCATCGATTTCATTTAATACTTTAAAGAGTTGTTCCTTAGCTTTATGCAAGTTTGGCTAAAAAATGAATGTTTTAAAATAAATTTTTTAATAAATGTTTAAATTGTTTAAATTACTTTGAGTTTTAAAGAAATTACCTGCAAAATATGTACACCATATTGAGTAGCTACAATAAGTTCTTCAACACCATCTTCATTCAGATCCAAGCCAGAAATTCGATAAATAGGGTGCATAAAAGATCTCTGCCATATCAATTGAAAAGTAATCATGCCTTGAGAATTGATGTCTAAATAATAATAAAAATAAATAAATAATCCTCGTAAATAATCCTAATTACTCTATTTAAACCTTTTAAATCATAAACTCTCATAAAATCCCACCTTGTTTGTATACAAGTAATTCTCTACCATATGTTCCAACAAGAATTTCATTTTGACCATCCCAATCTATATCCATTATATGAGAACACAGAACACTATCATGTTGTGAACATTCTCTCAAATAAAACGGATGTTTTAATAGTTTTTTATCTACATAACTTTAAGTTGTTATGAATGAATATTAGGTAAAGTAGTAACAAAAAAATATATATATATAAGAAAATCGTATTATCATACCAATAAACAATTGCTTGTTCTACAGCACAAGTAACAAGCATATGAATTTCTTCTTTTTCACCTAATTTTATTAAATTATTTAATAATAAAACATTTGTTTATTAAAGATCTTTAGAAGAATATTACAAACTTTACTTGTAGATGATTTGAAAATAGAAATTGAAGTGATGGGACTAAAAAGTGCAACCGATGATTGTTCTTGTTGTTCTAAATAAAAAAAACAAATTTCAATTATTATTGTTGTAAATTATTATATTTTAAATGAAAAAAAAAATGAAAAACGCGTCACTTCGCTTACCAAAATCACCCGCCGACTCACTACGCTTCGAAATTGATACATGCAGCATACCATTTTGACATCCCGCTGCTATAATTTTGATGTTTTGAAATTCTTTAATCTCTAGAGATAATATACTACAAATAAAGTGAAATGAAGTTAAATAACGACAAAATAATTTTTACTATATTGAACTTTAGATTAAATGAGAAGAAATGATTACTTTGAATTTGAATCAGCAAATCCAGCAAGAAATGGAAAGTAAGGACGTACAGATATTTCTTCCCATTTTTTAGTGCCTTTTTCCTTTTTTTATTTTTTTTAAAAAAAAAAAAATGGTTTCAATGAAATAAATAAATTGTTCTGATGAAGAATATAATTTCTGAACTTACTTCTATATATAAATGTACGCCTCCATCATTTCCACATAAAATTAAAGCAGTACAATCTTCATCCTCTTTATTTATTGTGGTGTGAGCAAGTTGCGTTGGAGTGAAATTAATTCTAATACTTTGACAATTTCCTATAAAAAAATTATTCGAAAGATGCAACTAGTAATAATTAATTAAATCGTTCTCAAATAAGTCATTCCAAATTATTTTACATTACCGATAATCTTGAAAATTGCGTCTTCCATAAACGTTAATGCATAATCACTCAAAGAATAAATTCGAAGGGAAAATTGGCTTTGAGAATCATCATCGGGAATAATCCTTTGACCAGACTATAATTACAAAAAAAGGGAATATTGATCATTAATTATAGGAAAAAAGAGAACTGTAAAGTTTTACTTACATGAGCTGTTGTCAAGGCAAAGACAAAATCAGAATTGATGGAAGAAAATACGTCCATCGAAATGATTTCTCCTATTACAACACAAGATAATTTAATCAGATGCCAATGAAGAATTTTAAAATGAAAAATTTAAAATACCAATATCTTTATCTAGAGGTAAATCGATCGTATTCCAATATCCTTGCGCCGAAACAAAACATGTAACTCCATAAAATGAACTTACGAATAAATGTTGATGTATTCCTACATTATAATTATCGTAATTAAATCTTATAATAAAAAAGAATTCATACATTAAAGATCAGAAAACTAACTTTCTTTATTTTCCCGATTTCTCAAATTATTTGTAAGAATTTCAAGGGACAAACATTTAGACGTGTTCGATGGAAATTCTCGATCATAAGGTAAACCACTTCCTAAACGTGTGGTAAATACGGATAACCCATAAATATTTCTGATATTTTTTTTTACAATAGTTTAGTTATGAATTTATATAACAGAAAAACTAATTAAATAAAAATTCGAAAACACAAACACTTACGTCCTACCTCCCGAAGAAAAACGAGAGAAATGACTCTCATTGAAATATTCAACTTCCATAAGAAAATAATACTTTTATAAATTTCTTTTTTATATATAATATATTAAATAATTTATAATAAGGACTTGTCATAATTATTTTAATTGATATGATAAAACGTGATGCTAAATTTTAACGGAAAAAATTTTCATTTGACGGTAAAAAACATTTATAAAAAAGAGAGAAAAAAATTATTTAAAGTTGTCCGATACTTACCATCTATATCTATATATATAGCTGAACATCAAATGACAGACGGTTGACTGTTACGCGACCCAATAAAAACGCAAACAGAATACTTTCATAGTATCCTACGAAGCAATCCCGTAGCATGTGTAATACACTTTTGTCAAGCGTAAAGAAGGTTTCGGTTTTTGACTAGCATAAAGAAATACTCTGTGAACATTTTCATCAGTCTATCAAAATGAATTAATCTTATTAAGATGACAAATTTGTAAAAACTTGTAATGGAAAAAGTATTTTTTTTTTTTTTTTTTATGATTATCTGATCATGTAAAGGATCGTAAAATCTCGGAAGCGCAAGAATAAACAGAGATTTGAGTGACATAATTAATACTAAATTGATACTAACAGATGTGATGTATCTTTCCCGGTAAATTCAAAGATGGTATGGATAATCTTTTCACCTCAAGACTAAATTATTTATGGCAAGTACCGTTATTGTTATAAATATGTCATATCGCTCATTATTTTAAGATGAAAAAAAAAAAAAAAAATGGCGGGTATTATATCGAAATCAAATACATTTCTTGTAAGTTATAAATTTCATCAGCATCGAAAAGGTGCGCTTTATAATTTTGTGACCAGAATTGGACCTGCAGCTGCACTATCATCAAATCGACGTTTTTGTATGTATGAAAAGATTCAATTTTTTAAACGAAATATTTTTTGTAAATTTGTGGCGCAGCAATCAAACTTATTATTCTAAATATTTTTTTACACCAGATTCTCAAGATAAACGTATTTTGGTTAAAAATCCGGTCGTTGATTTAGATGGAGATGAAATGACTCGAATCATTTGGGACAAGATTAAAGCTAATGTAAATTACAATAATCAAATCAATTTTTTTTTTTGAGATAATTTTGATAACAAAATCCAATGCGCAGTTAATCCTCCCGTATCTCAAAATTGACATCAAATATTATGACTTGGGAGTTGAAAATCGAGATGCTGTAAGTTCAAATAAGATTTGAAATCAAACAAAGTTGTGCGTGTTTGTAATCATCATTGCTTTTGTTTTAAGACAAACGATCAAGTTACCATTGATGCAGCTGAAGCGATCAAAAAATATAATGTGGGCATCAAATGTGCGACAATTACACCGGATGAGGAGAGAGTCAAAGGTAAGAAGAATTCATAAATTTTTGTTGATTTCTAATTAACTTTTGGATTGTAAATGACATTCTTTGAAATTTGAAAAAATTACCAGAGTTCAATTTAAAAGAAATGTGGAAATCTCCAAATGGTACAATACGTAATATTTTGAACGGTGTCGTATTTCGGTAATTTAATTTTAATAAATCGATCATTATTTATTTCTCCTATGTTAATTACCAACATTTTTTTTATTATCAAATAGCGAACCTATTTTATTGAACAGTGTCCCGCGTATAATTCCAAACTGGACAAAACCTATCGTTATTGGTAGACACGCTTTTGGTGATCAGGCAAGTTATAATTTTTTTTTTTTTTTTTACTTGAATCAAAAAAATAATAAGATAAGATATTTTATTAGTATAAAGCCACTGAAATGATTATAGATTGTCCTGGCAAAGTTATTTTAACATTCGTCCCAGACAACCATGATAATTCGAAATTACAGGAAAAAGAAGTGTTTTCATTTCAGGTAATTAATATTACAAATGATCTTCTTAAAAGAATAAAGTAAATAACCTTTACCAAATTCTCTTAATTGTTAGTCTCCTGGTGTTGCCATGTCTATGTACAATACAGATGAGGTAATGTTTGATTAATTATGTTTACGATTTAAAAAAAAATGAGAATTCACACTTATGAAATTTTTTTAGTCTATTAGAGGTTTTGCCCATAGCAGTTTTCAAATGGCATTGAGCAAAGACATGCCTTTGGTAATCAATTCATCTTTTTTTTTTAAAAAAAAAAAATAAGGAATATTTATTAATTAGTTTCGTTAATTTATGTAGTACCTTAGCACCAAAAATACCATCTTGAAGAAATACGATGGTCGCTTCAAAGATATTTTTCAAGAAATATTTGACAAGTAATAAATCAATGATTTATTTAAAAAGAACTAAATCTTAAAAATAATATATTAATAATATCAATTAATATCTTAAGGGATTATAAAGATAAATTTAATGCCAAGAAAATTTGGTATGAACACAGACTTATAGATGATATGGTTGCTCAAGTTATTAAATCTAGTGGTGGATTTGTTTGGGCTTGTAAAAACTATGATGGGTAAATTTTTTTTTTTAAGTAAAATATTTTTAACGGAATTTCCAATAATTAAATTTTCATTATTTATTAGAGATGTCCAGGTAAACTTTTGATCTATTTGGTATCGTTATAATCCAATAAGAAACTAAATTATTTACTACAATTTACGATTAGTCTGATATTTTAGCTCAAGGTAACAAACAAGAGAGAATATCATTTTATTCACTTTTTAATTACGATCGCAACTAATTTGGTTTTATTGTAGGATATGGTTCTTTGGGACTAATGACGAGTGTCCTTGTTACTCCGGATGGAAAAACGATGGAAGCAGAAGCAGCACATGGTAAAGAAATTTTTATGTAATTTTCAATTTAATTTAAATATATCTAATTTTTTTTTTTTGTATTTCTTTCATAGGAACTGTAACCAGACATTATCGTCAACATCAACAAGTAAGAAATTATATACCTTAAATCAGCACTTTTCTTTAAACGTTTGTTAATTATATGTTTATCACAAATTTCATAGGGCAAAGAAACATCAACGAATCCAATAGCATCAATCTTTGCGTGGACAAGAGGGTTAGCACATAGGGCAAGATTAGATGGAAATGAAAAGTTACAAAAGTTTTCTCATGATCTTGAAAAAGTTTGTACTGATACAGTTGACAAGAATGGTAAAATGACCAAAGATCTCGCATTATCAGTACATGGCGAAAAGTAAGAATTTTATTTTTTTAAAAAAATAAAAATTGACCGATTTATTTATTTATTTATTTATTTATTTTATTTAGATTGAAGAGAGAACATTATGTTACTACAGACGAATTTTTGGAACACATTACAAATAATTTGAAGAAAATTTATGGGAATTAAAATAATTAACTACTTAGTTTGTGTATATTGGCTTAAAAGGGATTAAATAAGATATACATTTTTTAAAAAAAATATCATTAATTTTATTGAATTATTAATTTTGCTGAGATTGAATTGAATTTTTAAAGCATCTATCGATAGATAAGTTAATTAGATCATCCAATAATAACTTTAACTTGTATTGTATTATGAGTAATGTATTTATATCATTCGATATGTAATAAATGGAGTAAGTTATCTGTAAATAATGACTAATCAGTTGCGTCAGTTGCGATTATGACACTTTTTTGTTATTGATAAATAATTTGTCTTAACATTTTTACAAACAACTTTTCTTCTTTCAGGTTGTTTTAAAATAAAAATAAAAATAATAATAATAATAAAACGCGTCAGTTTTCTAATTTTAATCAGAAGAATTGTCAATGCTCGCAACACCTATGTCCTCTCCAGTTTCAACTTCAACAATAATTTCTGAAGATTCAACCATAGATTCGGATTGCTCTTCTCTTGATTTCGATCGTACATTTGAGGATTCTTTTGTCACAACCAATACTTCCGAACAGGTGTTCGTTCCTTCATTAATGCAAATCGATGAAGGATTGAAAACCGCGTCAGATACGATGATCATTGGTAATGAAATACTAGAATCAAACGCTGGAGAGGTTTTAAGTCAAGATTCAATTAACGTAGATCGAAATGGCAAAGAAATGAACCAGGTTTCAAATACAGTATCTTCTCTTTATGAAAAAGCAAAGGCAGACGGAAGTCTAAACCATTCACATCTAGATAATGTTAATACAATCAAAGGGGTTCCTGAGATAATTGAGGACAATAATAATTCAGAAGCGACAGAAACACGAGACGAAATTCAACAGTCTTCAGCTAATGACGATCGAGAAAAAGCTCATAAAGTTGATATTACTTCATCGCAAGCGAAACGAATTGCATATACGCCAATAAATTCTGACGAGCGAGCAGACATACTCGACGATAATGAAACTACTTCAAATTTTATATTCTCCCAAAATGTTGAAAGTGATTTTATTCATGGTAATTCAGCGGTTCCCGATCTTGATACGTCGTCACCAACCCCTGTCAATCAAAGTAGATCTGATAATCCTTCAGTGATTTTTACTGAAATTAGTCCGAATATTAACATTTCTTCGCCTGTTGAAGTTAACGATAATACACTTGTCAACGATGCAGACGAAGAAAGGTTGATCTCAAAAATTGATAAAATCTTGTCTGATATCTTTAATAAAAGTCCCGACTATGGAAATTACAGAACTATTCCAAAAGTACCAAGGCAGCGATCACTTAGTGATAACGCTTATACTGTTCCAAATCTGTCTGGTGATGATATTATTCTTGATCATAACATGGAAAGTGTTGAAATTCATCAAGGCGAAAATGAGTATAGTTCTGAATTACACGAAATTAAATTTGAAAAAGGCAAAAGTGATCATATTAACGAAGAATTTATTGACAAAATGAAATTGAAAGAAGAATCCGTTTGTATTTAAGAATTTCTATTAAAATCACGTTACAGATCATATGATCAAAGATGTCTCGTGACTGATTTGTAACTGTCTTTTTTTTTTTTTTAGATTAGGAACGCATATAGCGGCATTACTGTCGCTCTCAAGCATCAATTAATGATGTATAATAATCTCCGTGAAATCATACCAGAATACGTTCGAAGGCCGGTAGAAGGTAGTATTGGTATTATCAGATTTAGTTTAGATCAAGCGGAATGCGTAGAGCCATCGGACCTAATGCAAGATGTACTTACCCCTCAAGAACATAATTGTGTTATTACATCATCTACAAGTCCTATTGAAGGAAGTAATGGTAAAGATTATTTGGTTAAGGAACAATTTGAGTCATCACAGAAAACAAAAGATATAAAAGATATAATAAGTTCACGGGCAAAAAAATGGCATGAACTTCCAGCTGATATAAAGGAAGTAAGTTTATAAATCCAAGTTTCATTTATTTGAATGGCAAGACATTTTTTTTTTATTTAATTCAAATCACGCAGCATTACCAAAAGAAAGCAAAACGACTACGACAAAAATACTCTCAAAACCAATTGGGACCACCACAGCAACAACCACACATCGTAAAACCCGGAAAAGACGAAAGTGAACTTTTAACTGTTGCTGTTCCGAAATTTTCTCTGAGGCCAGTAATTCCAATTGTGACGATGACACAATCTCAATATATTGATTTTACCCAACATAAACATCAGGTGGAAATGAAAATCACTTCGAAAGTAGGAAAACAAGATCATTCGGTTTTGAATTAATATACCGTATCGATGAAAAATAATTATTTGCGCGATGATGCAAACTTAAATAGCTTATGGTTTAAATTGAAGGGCATCTATTTCACGTGACTTATGTAAAAGAAAAACGTTGTAATTGATATTATTATAAAAATTCATAAAAATAAGCATTCTGACAATTTCGGTATCGACTCTGTTGCCCAAGTTTTAAGTGGTCATTAACTAGTAGCACGTTAAGACTTTTTTGAAGTTCGTTAATCAATTTTCACATGAGTTTGTTCGAAATATCTTTCCAAAAAAAACGAATATTGATGAATAAATAAAACAACTTCTAAAAAAGAAAGTGATCGGCGATTGGTTTGAGAAAATATGACTTCACTGGTTAATAATTAGCCAATACTGTAAAACTAAACGTAAAAAAAAATTTAAGATTATCATGTAATTGTTTCTACATTTGGTGACTTCCTTTTACGTGTTAATTAAACTTTGGCGATATCATGGTCCTCCCAAAAAAGGATTATTTAAAAAGACACGAACTTTTCATATGGCGTGATTTTCATGGTTTAAACTTGGTTATCAAGTATTTGTGTAAACCAGCTGACCTCATTAACCAAGAATATCTAAATATCCCAAACGAAGTTGATTATTTAACACCCCAAAAAACTAGACTGACAACGCATTCGCTTTCAAAATGAATGTCAAAATTAAAAAGTAAAACAAGTGGATTTATTTACTATTATTTTTCTCCCCAAAAAAATTTATTTCGGAGTTACATTAGAGAAAAATTATTTTTATTATCAAAATTGATAATAGCATAAACCCAATAAATAAGGTTGCATTTTCTTAATGTAACACACCATATAAAACGGCATATAAGAAACCAGTCCTGATTTTTTCCTGAAACAAATAGTCAACCTTTTGTAAAAAAGGAGTATCATACTTTTTTATAATTTTATTTTATTTATTTTATTTTTTTTTTCTTTTTCTTTTCCTTTTATTTTTATTTTTATTTTTATTTTTGTTTTTTAACGACTTTTAAATGGTTTCCCAATTAGCCATATTGGGCTCGCTTTTGTTCGTAGTTCTTTCATTTCTTGTCAATCTTATTTACAAGCCAATAGGATGTAAAAACATCCCTGGTCCATCCCTTCATTTGGGTACTCGTTTTCTGATGTTTATTCAGCTTCATTTCTTTCAAACGGTACCAGTATTCACGGAGTTTTGGTGTAGGCGTTATGGAGACACCGTCGGTGTCTGGATAAATGGTGGTTACACCATTGCATCTTGTGATGCCGATTTTGTTCAGAAAATTCTTGGCGGCACCCATGCTAGCAATTTTATATCACGAACAGGCAATGACGATGGTTTGAAAGCAATAGGAATGTATCAAAAAGGAATCATTTGGAATAACGACGTCCCAAAATGGACCCTTCAAAGGCGCATCTTTCAATCTGGATTAAGTTCCAACGTTCGTAAAAAGGCCTTTGACGTTGCGTTAGAGAATGCTCGACAAGAAATCAAGGGCATAAAGGCTACCGCCCAAGACAATAATACGGTACCAACCATTGATCTCTTAAATTTCCTTCGTCATTCTACCCTTGCCATAACACTTGACGTGGCCCTAGGAATCCAATTAGATCGAGAACGATCACAGTACCTGATCGACTGTATTGTTGACTACTTTAAGGCGTGGGAATTTTTCTTAATGAAACCGCGCTTTATCTGGCCTTTATTTCCGTTACGTTATTTTCATCACAAGAAAGCAGTCTCAAAGTTGCAAGAATTGATTCGGAATCTAGTTTCAACTCTGAACTCACAGGCGGCTCCTTTCCTATCGCACCTTCACGAGAATGAATTAACAATCGAAGAGATCAATCAATGCGTTCTTGAAATGGTCCTTGCGGGAACGGATACATCTTCCGTAAGTTTATATTACACCTTTATTCTTCTTACAGAAAATGAGAAGATACAAAACCAATTATTGGATTCTCAAGATGATTCATTCTTAGAATCAATTTTACGGGAATCTATGAGAATAATGCCCGTCGGTCCGGTCATAATCAGGAAAGCGATTGCCGATTGTGATATTTCAGGAACGCGAATACAAGCAGGCACAAATATAGTGATAAACGTTGCTCGAATGAACAGACACCCAAAGTGGTTTCAAGATCCGTTAAAGTTTAATCCTCAACGCTTTCAAATTAACGAGGATTTGGCTGCTCTCTCTGCAACTATGGGAGGGAAAGGACCAAGATCTTGTGTAGGCCAGAATCTGGCGATGGTTGAAATGAAACCCATTCTTCGGGAGCTTATGACAGCATTTAAATTTACACGAGAAAAAGATGCCAAGGCATTTATCGAAACCGAAACTAAATGGGATATCGCCTTGCAACCAGTTATCAGAGAAAAATTAACTGTTCTTCCACGGAAGGGCATCGTGCTAGTTGGAGCACATAGCGTTGGAAAATCGACTTTATCCAAATTAATTCGGAGTCGTATAAATGCGGTTTTGATTGACGAGACCGCAAGAACGGTGATGAAGCAATTAAACATGAACGCGGATTTAATCAAAAATGATCCGGAAAAATCTTTAAATTTGCAAGCTTCCATAATTAAATTTCAATGCGAAAGAGAAGAAAAATTCAAGCATGAATGCGCAATATATGATCGATCTGCACTGGATGCTCTAGTATATGCGAAATCGTTTTGCGGAAAACAATGGGAGAGTTTATTGGAAATGCCGGAAACAAATAAATGTATTGAAAGATACAAACAATCTGATAAATATTTGGTCTTTATAATTGAACCGCATATGGAATGCTTGAAAGATGACGGAACCCGCATGATGTCTAATAATTACCAAGAATGGAAAGCGTTCTCTGAGGAGTTCAAAATTGTAATGAACGATTATAAAATCAATTACCGTGTTATAAATGAGCTAGACCTGGAACAACGGTTTTCAATAGTATTCCAAGCACTATTTGGTATGTAGTCACATTTATATTATTTTTTGTTATGACAAAAATTTTGATTGTGCACCGATTAATATACGTACTTTATATTCTTATCAATATACACATTTTATTATGCTACAAAATACAAAAAAAAGAATAAGAGGAGTTCATTTTAAAATATTTATTTGCAACTTCTAATTTTTTTTTTTGTAAGAATTGTATTTATTTATTTACCATTTATTTTTAAAATAGCTGACTGACCCTTTGAGATTTTTAGATCATATCATCTTTTTAATTATATAACAATCGATGTAAATTTTTTTGGTTTACATGGTATAATCCAATTATTTTATTTTTTTTAAAAAAAAATTGCAATAATTAAGATAGTTTTTTAGTCTCTTAAAAAAAGACGAGCTAAAAAATTCAACAAAAGACCGAAATAAATTTTTAACTTAGAAAATATATAGCAAGCTAATGTATATTATTTTATTACCGTGTTGTTCTCCTATAAAAGAACCAAACACCTATTGCATTATTCTACAATACTCACTATTATTGCTACTATTATATTTCTTTTATCAATGAAAATATTATTCGTTGATTTGAAACTTTAATAAGCGATCTAAGATTTAAAAAATAATACCAGCCTAATCAGCAAACCGAGCTTGATTTTATGATGAAACTTAAAAAAAAGTGTTTTGATATAATTTGATGATGTCATATATGACAACAATTAAATAGCCCTATGAATTAAAGGTATGATCCTTTCAAAAATCATCGAATTGTATTGGAAGTTTCATAACGTTAGCTGGTATAAAGATGTCAAAAATGTCGAGATTTGTGCGACCTGAAGTTCACTTTCTTGATATTTCGGGATTTTAGGAGGCAGTCGACAATTTTTAGTTTGCAATAAAAATATGTATTCATGGAATACATGCGATAGGGTGTCCAGGATGGGTTGGCGTGATGGTACAAAATTCGCGCGTGATTTTATCGCAAAAATCGCGATTATAATTC